TATCATCAGCAAACAGTCATATGCAACCATCTTGACTGCATACATTTACCTTGGCTAAGTCATTAATAAAGATTATGAAGAGCAAAGGACCAATTATCGATCCTTGCGGAATTCCCAAAGAGACAGATGCTTCTTGCAAAGGTGTATCATCTAAAATAACAGTTTGTTTCCTATTTTTTAAGTAATGTTGAAACCAAAGTAAACTTTTACTGCCTACACCATACAATTTTAACTTTTCTAGTAAGATCGAATGATTAACAAGGTCAAACACCTTACTCAGGTCTAAAAATATAGTTCCCGTTAATTTACCTTCGTTAACATTTTTTAGCCATTCATCATATAAAGAGAGAAGTGCGGTCTCTGTTAAATGGTGATCTCTAAAACCCGATTGCCATACTGTAAATAGGTTGTTGGCTTTAAAATACATATACGGTATAATTGATTATGAACAGCCCTCTCTAGTATTTTTGATATAATAGTTGTATCTACTGAGAGCAAGATGAACATATATTTGTTATTCCTGTAATTACAAGTATGCCTCATATAACCGAATATTGGAATGTACTACCCTATGACCCTTCAACCTATGACTTACTGGGTGTCAAGAATCTTATGGAATGTATTTTAATAAAAACCCTATGTGAAAAAGACATTTGTATAGTAAAGGGAAAAAAGCACTGGACGTCAAAGTTCATCATAAAATTTAATTGATGAGGATATCATTAAAATAAGGACATATAAATTTTAACTTGCACCCATAGAAATCATTAAGTTTTCCTCCATTCCAGAAGTTTCTATTTAAAGTTGAATTCAAGTTCATTTCAGATAAGTGATTATAATCTGTATTATCTTTTGTTCAAAATATGATGATTTTTATCATGTTTAGTCAATAAAGATAATACTTTCTTGTAGGCGTATTACATAGTTTACTTTTTTCAACTAATCAATTCCTTTTGGTACAACATTTTTATTGTCATTATAAAGGGTTGTTTCTTGCTCAGTTAGAGAGCTATTGCAATGACTCGCGTGTCTGTCTGTTTGTCTGTGAACAGTTTTTGGACACTTTAATTAAAACTGGCATTTCAGATTCAGATTCAGATATTTATTACTATTTGAAAACATACATGACATTCAATACAACATGACGCTCTCAAGAGCATATATGTTGGTTATAACTGAACAGAAATGGGTCAGTGACGCCAACAGGTAAGACAAAATAAAAATGGAGTGGAGAAATACCTGAGAATGACACTGGCCCAAGTCTGTTGGAAATCATTTCAAAAATGTAAAAATATTAACACTCGGGGACAGAGACACAGGGCATGGGAACAGGTAATTGCTGCTAAGTTTATAATATTTATATATATAAGTTGATAAGACAAAAATGTGGTAGAGTACAGATTTTCAATTGGTAAAGACATTTTCAAATCTTTAAAATTATAAAGGTATGTCATCTATTTTATTTTGTTTGAACAGAGACTTAAAAATTGAGAGTGAGGCTGCTTGTCGAATATGATGAGATATAGAATTCCAGATTTGCTGACCTTGAACTTTCAGTGAATAAAGGCCAATATTTGTTTTGAACTTGAAGGCATGGATATCATGTGAATGTCTAGTTTCATATCGATGAATGTCAAAATTTAACGTAAAATATTTTTCAAAAATCTTGCGGTGGACTGATATATTGTTATACCAGCAATAAACAAAAATTCCAACATTTAATTGATAGATATCATGCATTGGTAGTATTCTAAATTGTTTGAATAGTGGAGCTGAGTGCTCAAACCTGTCTTTTCCTGCCATGAGACGAAGGTATGATTTTTGTAATTTGAGCAGTTTATCCAAAGCTGAATATGCTCCGGCCCAAATGATTGTGCAATAATTCAAGTAGGAGTATATTAAAGAATTATAAATTGCTAACATACTTTTTATGATTAGCAAGTATCTGCATTTGAATGAGATTCCAATGGTTCTAGATATTTTTCTTTCTACATTTTTATGTGACTTTTCCAGTCAAGGAATTCATCAATTGTTACCCCCAAAAAATTCATTTCATGAACCCTATCAATTTGTTTTCCATTTATGAATATTTCAATTTGTTGACAAACCTTTTTTCGTTTTTTGGAGAAGACGATGAATTTTGTTTTTGAATAGTTTAAAGAAAGGAGGTTTGCTTTAAACCAGTCATCAAGAGTAATGAGTTCCTGATTGACAGTATTTACAAGTCTAGTTAAATTATGGTCAGAAGCTAGAAGATTAGTGTCATCTGCAAATAAAACAGATTTAAGACTTTGTGACGCCGTGAACAGGTCATTAACATAAATTATAAATAAAAGTGGTCCCAAAACGGATCCCTGAGGGACTCCCTGGGAAACAGTTTGGGTGTCAGACAGGGCACCATCATAGGAAACAATTTGTTTACGATTTTGAAGATAACTTTTAAAAAAGTTTTGTTCAACTTGTCCGACACCATAGAGTCAAGTTTTTTTATGAGAATATCGTGGTTGATAGTGTCGAACGCTTTTGACAGGTCAAAGAAGATTCCAATGGAGTATTTATCATTTTCAAGAGCTGATCTTATATTTTCGACAAAGGTCAGAATTGCCATATATGTGGAGAAATTTTTTCGAAATCCAAATTGGTGTAAGTAAAGTAATTTTGATTCTTCAAAAAAGTGTATAATCGCTTATGGACAAGTTTCTCAATGAGTTTAGAAAATACAGACAAAATCGATATTGGCCTGTAATTTGTAAATTTGTCATTTTCACCAGATTTAAATATGGGTATGACTTTAGCCATTTTAAGAAGATCAGGAAAGCATCCCTGTTGAAAAGACATGTTATAAATAAAAAGAAGAGGGTTAAGAAGTTCATCCTTAGACTGACGTATAATAATGGGTTTGATGTCATCAATAGATGCACTGCTATCTTTGAGATCACCCATTAGGTCCTGTAGTTCCTGGTGAGTTATTAAGTCAAAATTAAATTTAATATCTGTTTTTTTTCGTTGAGTTGATAAATTGAGACCAATGTTTGTTACTATGGCCAATATTTTCCGCATATTTCTTTCCAATAGTTGCGAAAAATTCATTAAATTTGTTAGAGATTTCAATTTTATCTGAAATAACCTGGTCATTAACTATAAATTCATTTTGAGATTTGGGATAAGCTTTTTTCTTTTTCAAAATATCTTTAATAACAGCCCATGTATCCTTTATATTACCGTTTGCAGAGTTAAATCGGTCACGATAATACGAACGTTCGGAAATTCTTATAGTGCGTCTAAGTAAGCATTTATATTCTTTGTATGCTGTCAAATTGGTAATTGTTGGACATTTTACATATTTATAGTACAATTTATTTTTAACCTTAGCAGAATTTATGATACCTATAGTTAGCCAAGGGCGTGAGTTATCATTGTAATGCTTAACTCTCTTTTTTAAGAGGGGGAATGACTCATTATAGATTTTAGAAATTTTGTCATGGAAAATGTTATATGCATCATTTGCATCATTGCTAGAATATAAATCAGTCCAATCTACCGTAGAAAGCTGTTGTTTGAACATTTGTACATTTTGAGTAGTATATTTTCTGTATGAAATTGTTTTATATTTTATAGTGCTTATTGTTGACTCAGAAAGTGCAAATACTGGAAAATGGTCAGAGATATCACTTAAGATGACATCCCCATGAATAAAATTAGACATATTAGTAAATATATTGTCAATTAAGGTCGCAGAATGGGATGTTACACGGGTAGGCTTGTATATCAATGGTCTGTGATTATAGGAGTACAAAATATTAAGAAAGTCATCAGTGCCTTTGTGAATGTCAGATTTGAAAAGATCTATGTTAAAATCCCCAGTGAAGACAGAGAATTTATTTTCATTATTGATTTGTCTAAGATATGAAGTTAGATTGGCATTAAATTCATCAATATTAATTTTTGGAGGTTTGTATAAAGCAGTAACGATGATGTTCTTAGATTGTTGGTTGACAATTTCAATGGCTAAGGAATTACACTGATCATCGTGGAATTTAATATCATGTCTGAATTTGTGACTAATACCATTAAAAATGAATAAAGCAGCACCCCCGCCTTCACGATCAGTTCTAGAAGAGAAATATGGTGTATAATCAGAGAAAAGAGATGCACATTGCTTCTCTGTGTCAGAGTTCAGCCAGGTTTCAGAAAATGCCAACACTTGAACCGGATTTTTCTTTAATTGATCAATGAAAATATTCAGCTCAGATTATTTACTAAGAATGCTTTGTGAATTAAAATGAATTATGGAAAAATCTTGTCCAGTTTTGGAGTCCATTAAAGCAGAGAGCTCTGTTAAAGATCTATATTTGCATTTGGTAATTGAATCCATGACATCATTCTTCATGTACATTTCGATCTCATCATTTTCATTAGAAAGCCTTTCATTAAATGGGTTAAAGATATTATGTTCAAAATTGGCAAGTAAATCAGCATAGGGAACAGATTCAAGGTATTCAATATCATCAATAACACTGTAAAATGGAAGTTCATGACACAATGCATCAGCCACATGTAAGTCGTAGGTATCAACCATTTGGGGTCAATATGACATTACTCATATGCAAAACCTGAAAACATGTCCCGTGTCCAACCCAAAGTATTATAAGTTTATAGTTCATGGTGTTTTGCAATAACTCACAGGATCAAAAATAACTCCAGTATTACCATGATGTATTATTGAAAAAATGAAAAAATGATGAGTATTTAAGAGATGTACCACGTCTAGAAAATAAGAAACAAAACTCAGACTAGGCACATATGTAACTCTATGTACAAATTTGTCTGATCGAATGCTCATAATCATTTTTGTTGTTTGAGAAATCAGTTTTTGTTGTCAAAATATCACATTTCAAAATATAATGTATAGGTTTATGTAAAAAATGATACAGTAATCCAGTTGGTGTCTCATAACCTTTTAATAATCTTTAAGGTTTATATTTTCTCACATTTTTATGTTACTGCCCATGTTTATTTGGAGGATATTTACAGGTTTTTTGAGCCTTTTCAATATCATAGATTCCTTTCTCAGTCATCTTATTCCTGAAATATTTATCAGCACCTATATAATCTAGGTTTTGGATCATACAGTCATGTTTTATTTTCAAATCTTCTATTCTTTTCAAATTAGGTTTTCTCTGCACAGAGTCACATTCTTTCTGCTTTATTGATTTAGCCATATCGAGTTCTAAGATTTTTATAGCCATTTTGTGACGACCAAACTTGTCAATCTTTTCCCATAGAGTTTTGTTGAAATGATTGTATATCATTGAGTCAGCTATGTTCCATTGGATTAAGTTCTCATATTCTTTAGGAGTTAAAACTGGCTTGGATTTTTTAATGTTCTTCACATTTGCATTTTTTAAGATGACTACATCTTCGATTGTTAAATCTGAGCATTCAGTCAACAAAATGAGACTCTCATCCATAAACTCAGCTAATATCACTAAGTCAAACTCCATCTCAATTTCATTGATTTTTTCTTGTATTACTGTGATGTTATATTGTTCCTCCTGTTTGATTCCAAAACATTGTGCAATTGGGTTACTAGGAGGCATGTGATGGATCAGTTCAAGGTGCGGCATAGTTTTAATGTTATCTAAAAAATATTTGAATTTATTAGGCTCTTTGAGATATCCTTTATAGGTTTTCTCCATGCTGTAAAAGTTATAATATGAAAAGAAATGTGAAAATGGTTCCCGGATTGATGCGACAAATACACTCCCTGGGGCCATAACTTGTTTGATTTTTGAACTGTATTTTATATGCTCATTTAGATGTTCCCAATATGTGTAGTTCTTGCTCAGAGGGATTAAATGTTCTGGTTTGAATGGTTCAGGCCATCCCACTAAGTGTCTCTCACCAACAGAATTACTACATGGCATTCCAACAATTTGGTTGTGTTTATCAGCATATTTATTAAACATTGCTTGAAGTGTGCAGCTCCCTGCTTTGTTAACTTTTAGATAAAAAACTCCTCTGTGTGTAGTCGTTAGTGCTGTATTGCTCTTCTGCCTTTGTTGTGGAATACTCCATTGGTTCTTATTATCCAATGTGTTCTTATAACGTTCTTCAGAATTTTTTATTCTTCTATCATGAATCTGTTTGCTTTCTATTGGCTTTGTAAAAGCTGGAAGGTCTTCACTTCCATATTTGTCAATGCTGGTAATTATGTATATGTACGAAAGCAAGATTGCCAAAGAAACACCGCTGGTTATCACTGCCTTAAATTCCATTCTTGTTTTGTCAATAATATTTGTGTAGGTATACGGTCATTACCATCTTCATCGTTATGTCAGCCTTCATTTCCCTTATTCACAGGCTGGTATCGAAATATTTGTCCGCTGTGACGGAGCATGCTATTTTTCATAAAAACACTAAGAATACTTCACGATTTATTTTTTAACTCATATGTTTAGTTATACCATACAAAATTACTTACTCCATGCAATGGATATATCATTTGCGGGTAACTTTCACTTCTGTTTGAAGTCCAATTACGCTGGGAAGAAAAGCTATTGAAAATGGCGCCGGAGTATCATACTTCAAAATGTACCATTTCTTGTTTAACTTTCTAATGGCACGATATAGTGACACGATAATATTTACACATGGTTTCAGCATAACTATGAAGGTATAAATGAGATGTTGATGTATTTGGTCTTTTTAATTCTTTTATAAAAAATAATGTTTAATTTTTTTGTCCGCTGTGACGGAGCAGTTGCAAATATGAACTGTGAAAATGCTCCGTCACAGCGGACAAAAAATATTAATATTAATTTTTATTAAAAAATTAAAAAGTCCCAATGCATTAAAATCTCATTAATACATTTAGAGTTATGCTTAAAACATATGTTAATATTATCGTGTCACTATATCATGCCATTAAAAAGTTAAAAAAGAAATGGTACATTTTAGAGTTTGATACTCTGGCGCCGTTTTCAATAGATTTTACTCTTAGCGTTATTGGACTTCAAACAGAAGTGAAGGTTACACGCAAATGATATATCCATTGCATGGAGTTAGTAATTATCTTTGATATAATGAAACATACGAGTTAAAAAATAAATCGTGAAGTATTCTTAGTGTTTTTATGAAAAATAGCATGCTCCGTCACAGCGGACAAATCTTTCGATACCAGCCTGTGTTATTGCTCTGCAGAAAGAACAAAACATTATTGATTGTGGATTTCTCCCAATGATTTTTGTGTAGATTACATCAAATTTCACTTGACATTTGCATGCAAACCTTCCATAAATTGTCATTTTTCAGTAAAATATTACATACTGCTGTAATGTTATTTACTGGAAACAACTGCAGTTCACGAATATGGAAACGTTGCAACATTATTGTTAAGTCGTCTTTACAAACCAAGGAAAGTGTTATAATCCAATAATGTGTTATAATCTTACCTTTGGCCAAAAGGTACTCTAGCTGATATATTGACAGTGCTTACTGTAAGGTGATTTGTGTCAGTTTTCCAGATACCTTCGGGCCTAGTCGCTTTCTTAGTACACATAATCACGGTGTTATAGCATGACGGCTACGTCAAGGCGATTTGCAAAATTTTGCGGTAACGATAACAAAAAATGGCAGATGCGAAAGACAGTATGTCCTCTTTATCGCCTGTAGGGAGTATTCACAGATAAGATTTCCTTTTCAACTAGTTCCATTCGGTGACGTATATATGGATGGTTATAAAGACTGGGTCAAATCTGCCAGGTGGTTCATTAGAAGCAGAATATAAGCTGTAAACTTACCGACTGAGATATCCAAGTTTATAATTTTTAGTCCATTCTCGTGCCTCAGAGGCACTCAAACTATTTACTGTAAGTAAACTGTGTATAAACAAGCCATAAAATGACAAATCCAGAACAGGAACGTGGTGTATATTGTAAATAATAAGGTTTCAAACGCAATGTCGTTAGACGACTACGTATGAATTCTATGGATGGTAACGTATTGTATTAGTTGTACATTAGATATTTAGCGGACGGTTACGTGCATGTACACCTTTCAAGTCAAGGTTGCTAGTTCTGATAGCCTCTTTCCATGACATTGTTATAATGAGCAAGAAATGGAATATTTAATTGCTTATATTTGTTTTTTCCGGACTCGCAAGAGACGCTCTTGTTTGAGCCTCTATAGGGCAAGGAAAAATTGTGTCTTGCTTTATTGATGAAACCAATGAAAGTCAAAAAGATAGCAATGAAGAGACAAAAGAAGAATATTAGCATCAAGTATTGATGAATATGACAAAATTAATAACAATGAATCGGTGATACATATTTGAACGAGGTTCGCGTAACTGTCCATCAATTTTTTGCGTAACCGCAAATTCAAAATACATTATTATGGCTTGAGTAGAACATATTAGGTGGTTCCCAATGCTCAATTGGCTTTTTATGATCTATGTAGGTTACATCTATATACCTCGAGGTCGTTAGGCAATGTAGACCATGCCTTAACGACAAAAATAAACAAATTACTTGTTACTTGTTACTTTTGTGTAGTTTTGAATTTCAAACTCAACAGTTTTTCGCTTATGTCATGTTATCTCCGGGCATCAAATTGCAAAGACTACGTTCAAAATATACATTACTAAATGCATCACCGAATGCGATGCTTACATAAATCGTTCATCCTTTCATTGATGCACAGTAGTAGAAAATAATGCACCAACCTTAGTTTTCTGTTCCTTCGCGGCCATTTTATTGGATAAATCAGTGAACGTAGCTGTCCAACCTCGTTTTCAGAGGTGTCGTAACCGTCATGCTATAGCAGGGTGATAATCACTAAATGGCCTTTATATTCCTCATTTAAAGATCTTCACAATTTACAACGTTGCTGTCACTGTTATTTATGTGAATTCAATGTTATGGTGTAGGATCCATATATGTTTTAGTAAAAATGCTAAGAAAACCCCACAAGTTTTTATTTGAACTCAATGTTTTGGGATGCAGGAGTTGAAGCTATTGAAAACAGTGATAGCGTATCATCGGTTAGTGGTGCAGGGTGACATCCTAGGGAGGGACATGGGCCAACCAGGGGTTACACTGCATTATTGACTAACGTAGACGAATGTAATAGAGATTAGACACATTGAACCTAAATACCCATAATTGCATACTTTCCCTACAAATGACTCCCTTTTTCTTTTGTACCTTTTCTATTTCCAATTAACATTTATAAAAACTAATTTAATACACTTATTTTAAGTGTCATTGCATTTCCATTATTTTTCCATAAAAACTGTATGTTATTGTAAAAATTTACTTAAAACTGAAATATATATTATTATTATTATTCATAAAATTTATGTTTGCCTTTTTAACTTTTAAATGTTCAGATGTGGTTACCTGATAACATTAGCATATGCTTTAATCATATCTTTGGAAGTATAAGTAAGATCTACATGTAGAGTTGTAGGGTACTTTTGTTTTTTGTCTGCGATGGGAGATCTGTATTTCATGTTTCATATTTCCCACAAAATTAATTTACTGAATTTCATGATATGTACAGTACAAAATATATATATATATAGTGGCGTAGCCAGCAATTGGTGACCAGGGGTTCGATTTTTTATGTTATCCACAACCCTCCCCCTTCATCGGTGTGCCTCACATAAAAGCATTTTCTGTATTTGTCATACCATGGGTTTTCACTAATTGAAAGCCCATGGTCATACATACAATTCATTCTTTAGAGTTCATTCACAGATATGTCAAATTCTGAAACATGCGATTCCCACACTTTTAGCTGATTTCATTTTGTTATAGAGGAGTTCCTAATAACCTCGTGAACTTTCAGTAACTTTCTGAATACCAAGCAAATATTTTTGAAGAATATAATACTTAATAAATCATGGCGCACATTGACAGATGGCAAATAGTAAATTGAATGGAATGAAGCAGTCTGAAAAACCTATTTATTCTTTCTTTGAATTGAAAATAAAAAATAAAACATTCCATTCTTTATCACCGTGCCGCTGTTTTTTATCATAAATGACGAGAATCATGAACGTTTTAAGAAATAAAAGCATTTTAGATGAACTTGTGAATGATTATAAACTTTTGTTTTGGAGAAATGAACATTATGAACATTTATTATCTTATTTAAGAATGCTGTCAAATCCTGGGTTTTCGTAAAACACCGACCGCCGACCACCGACCACCGACCAGTCACTCTCCACAGTTGGGTACATGTGGTCGGTGGTCGGCTGACGGTCTTTTACATAAAGATGAAAAAATGCAAAATTAGAAGTAAAACTAAAACTGGGAATCCAATGACTATAGTACCTTCACTAGGTCATGATTTAAAAATGTATTTAATCATTTCAAATCACGATGAAAACGTTACATCGTCGTGGTGTGTAATGTCATATTTTTAAGTGATGTTTCAGTTGTTAGAAGACCAATTTCATCCTGGTTAGTCACTTTGGAAAAAACGCACGTAACATTGCATTAAGTTCATTCTTCATTTATATGAAACGCAATAACAAAAACACACAAACATCGTCGATGTTGACGTCGTAACGTTATGTTTGATTTCTCAGTTGTTAAACGTCAACTGGTAAAAACTACATTTGATATGACAAAAAAAGCTTTCTAATGGTGTACTGAAATGGTAAGTCACTTTTAATCCCGATAAGAGAACGCATGTAACATTATATCGTGTTCAGTATTCAGTAGGCTATGACGATAACAAATCATTTTTGTTTCGAAATTGTTAAAGGACGATTCTCGGTTTGGAGAACAGTCTCCTAGGCTAATATTTTTTTCATGAAAAATATAGAAATATTACCCAAATTAAACTATGAATATTCAAAAGAGGACATTTAAATCTACAAGATGTAAAAATATCAAATTGATCTGGAGCAGGGATAACGCTCAAATAGACCGATTTTAATAAAATACAAGTCTCGATTTGGGGAAAGAAGTCCATCAGTGTACTGCGCTAATATTTTTTGAGAAAAATCTAGAAATATTACCCAAATTAAATTATAACTATTCAAAAGAGGACATTCAAATCTATATTATGTAAAAAAATCAAATTTGTCCGAAGCAGGGATAATGCTCATTTAGATTGATGAACTTCGTTCTCCAAACCGAGAATCGTCCTTTCAGTAAAAAATTAGGATAGATTCCCGTAGAAACGATAGGTTGGTTAATGATAGGTTAGGACCTAAGGCAGGGCAATTAATCGAGAGGAGACGGTCATGACCAATTTGTTTGCTTGCCATTCGTTGCAAGGTACAAAATCGGTAAAAAACGTTGCCTAGTCCAACGATTGACATTCAAAATCAAATTATTAATATTCTAAGGCTACAAATATGTTCGGTCTTTTACATGATATGGTCGGTCTTTTACACATTTTCTTCAAACCCTGTTTTGAGGCTACCAGTGGAAAACACCGACCGGTCGGTGGTCGGTGGGGTCGGTCTTTTCCGAAAACCCTCAAATCCTTTTTAGACACAGGATTTGAAACGTGTGCAAGGCTAATACTCCGTGGTCTTTCTGGCAAGTACACTCCCCTCCAGAAGTTTGGCAACCTTAGCTCCCTCTTCTTTATGTTTGAATTTTTATTTACATAACCTGCGAGGAAAATACTTATAATATTGATGGAAATGTATCTTGACTTCATTTCCTATGCCACAAATTTTCCCATTGTTTTAATGTAAACCAAGGGGAACCAATGAGCTTTATATTTAATTAGTAGATTAGCTTCAACCGCAGGCCATCTGAAATTAGGTCTTTGGAGTTTAAAAATCTCGATAATCCGTTGACGGTTATCAGTGGATCCGTTTTTTTAGAAAATAAAAAGTGATTATCAGGAAGCAATGCATATTGGTACACCACGTGATTTTTTATATTTTTTAACTGTGACAATACTCATTCGAAATAATAAATCTAGACTTATTTGATATAATCCTTTATATGCCTTTGCTTTCCTCAGCAAAAGATGACTGCATCTGGCTTTCGTTTTTATTTGACAGAACTTTCCACTGCACGTAATGTGTGTACCTTTTTAGCTTACGCTTGTATTTAGTACCAGAGACATTACCTAATCAGTCCCTCCCTTAATCCATTTATTTGCTAAACATTTATAATTAATGACATTAACACGATCCACTAAAGTTCATCGTGGTAAGCCACGCCCTCTCCATCTCTATCCTTCTGGAGGATCTGCGATGCAACAGAGATGCTATGAGTATCAGAATGACTAAAGTTTGATATTCGTGAAAATAGAGCGTATACTAAATACACCGAAACAGCAACAATTTAAACTTAATATAATCTCCGAGATAAACGTGCATTTGAATAGAAAACTGATTTTTTTCGCAATGGATTTATTTTTCCTTAAAAAGTGATGGATAATAAATACCCATTCGATCAATTGCTTGTGTTTATAAATGATACATATGCTTTGAATAATAACTCATTTCAAAATGTTTCTATTATTTAATATTTGCTTGTGAGGACTTATCAGCCCCGGGGACTTAGTAAGATTTTTTGTTTGAA